GATGTATGTGCTAGCACTCTCTAAATATTTATGAAATGACATATTTGTTGGAAGCCGGCCAGAGTGGCTGGGGAAACCCAGCCGGATGGGCGGGGTACAAATAATAAATTATCATCATCATCATCATCATCTTAAAATTGTTCTGTGATGTTCCACTGACAAAGCAGTTGTCACACCGTTCTTAGAGACTAGTACACAGGCATATCAAAATGCCAATAATCAATCTGAAGAAACATATGGATGCTGTGTCATAAGACAAAATAAAAGAGATGGACTGTACCTCTACAGAGCATATAGCCTATAACCCATTCTCATTTCTTATTCTCAGAACCTGGGAAATCATAATAAAGAAGAGAATGTCTATGCAGACTACTGTATCTCCCTCAACTAGTTCCCTCAAATTTTGAGTTAAGGGTACAGGGTTCCAGAACAGCACCTCACATTTTGAAAATACACACTGCCTGAATTATTGCCAAACTATCAGGAACAAATCAAGAATAAAGCATTATTTCAGCTACAGTTTTCTACGCTAATGTTGACAATGCTCATTAATTCTGACAACTTTGGTTTAATTAAAAAAAACTTTTTATAAAAGCCTCCTCAATATATTATGTCAAATTGTCCCTAAGTGTACATGTTTTAGGATGTTTCTGAGCAGTTTATGTTTGCTCAAATAGTTTATGCTACATTTACACTAACAGATTTTAGAGTATACTCATTATATGAGTGTTAATGCATATTAAAAGCTTATCACAACATTTGAGATGCACACAGACTACCCACTAGATAACGATTACACTGTAGGACCATATGTTTTTGAAATCAAGTGGATAAATCAAACAGTTGGCTGGCCTCTTCAGCACATCCACTTAATGACTACTGTGCCAGACAGCAACTACCCAGGGAAATTATTCTGGGCTATTCACACTTCTTATGAGTTGAAAACCTCAAAGGACAGCAGGAAACTGGGGTTTTTCCCATTTCCAGGTCAAATGTGCTTCCAGCACACATCAGAAACCAGAGACAATCTCAAACACAGAATGAGCTGGAAATGTAGCTCCAAAGAGCAACATACTATAAGGTCTAGTTGAATCTTTGTCCTAAACATTTGAAATAGCAGTTTTCAACAGAATTTGAATTGACATCTTCAGAACATACATTTTCCTTTATTCTGTTTATGCTCTGTTGCTGAAGGTTTTTTTTGTTTTTGTTTTTTGTTTTTTACTATTCTAATTGTTCTCACCATTTCTCAGCTTAAGGGGCTGGATGGAAAACATGCAGACTGTGATTCTTACAGCCATTGTTGTAACAACTTTAGCTTGGAAAATGAGGAATGCTCTCAGGTGTTTTTATCCCCACCCTAATATTCCTTTTTAATATAACTTTTAGTGGCCTAATCCATCCCATACAAAATCTGAAAAAAGCATTCACAACATAAACAAATGAAACATTTTATTTAACCCACAAAATATAAAACACCATATCAAAGTTCAATTATCACAAATGTAGCTATCATATCCAATTTAGCATGGTCTTTCAGCTGCTCCATGAGATGCTCAGGCTTTGATGCAGGTGTAATTAGCTCACTGATGAACAGTTACCAGACACACAGAATAAGTCAAACCCACAACTTCCATTTCACCTATTTTTCTAAGAAAGAACACAAAGAACTCCTTTGAGCTACCAGAAAAGGAGAGAGAATCTTTAGCTAACAGGAGCTCGAATACAGTACACTTAAGAGAGAGAAAATCCCTAGACTGATTAGTGTTTCTATTTGAACAAATGAAAAATGTACCACATAACATATTTGGAGACAAAACCACTTCTGAACATCAATGAATAAAATAATCCTTTTGTGGTCAAATGACATCTACCTTCCTAACAAGGTCTGAACCTTTCTGCTATGGTGTATAAGAAGAACCCTGGTGTATAAGAAGAAAAAACAGGGAATTAATGAGAAGTGAATGACAGGTGAAAAAGGTTTGCTTGGTGGGTGAGCACTAGCTGCCTGAAGGAGAAAGAAAAGATCAGACAAATCATCCTATTAACAAGAGGGGCCTTTGGGACTGAAAGCTGATATACAAAGACAGACCTAAAAGTTCCGTATTTCCTCACTGAAGTCAATGAGCAGTGTAGCTATCTTGCTAGCAGGATGCCCTCAACCCAGAAAAGATTGAAATATTGACCTCAAACAGTATAGGGACCTGATCTTCAGTAGGGCTTGTAGCACAGGTATAGGCTGGCCAGCATGAGCATTCTAAAAATGTCAATGAGCTTTCTTTAAACTGCACATTCATGCATCACAGTTCATTTTTATGTGCTGGAAGAAGCCCAAGCTAAAATGCTTTCAGCAGGCTCCAGCAAAATGGAAATAATCTGTTTTGCAGATTATATTAAAATGCCTGGTCACACCATATGTACATTTGGACATGTTTTGGAGGGATTCTTTCAACCGGAGGGAAATGCAGGTGCTTAACCTTAGAGCCTTACAATATTACATTGTAAATATTGTCAAAGTTACTAACAAATTTAATTATCCATAACTGCTAGGCATTCAAACACTTTGGATGGGCAACATGCAACTCATGGGCTCTCATGGTTGAAGAATTAGTTTGGAAGACTTAATGGCAAAACAGTAAAAAAGATCAAAAGTCAATTATGCTTGTCAACTTCATAGTTGTGAAGAACATAAAGACCTGAGACATATTTTTCTATACTGTGCAATAACAGTATCAGGGCCAAACTATATTATATGTTAGCTCTGTATCAGTGTCCATAAGTGCAGGATGTTTGTTTTTAAGTCCAGTTACAGTGCAGGATTACCAATCAGCATTGGGACCATAGCATGGGGAGATGGAGAGCCTTAATGCTCTGACCCCTGTATTGTCCTAATTCATACTCCCCCAAACCACCAGCTTAAATATGGGGAGACTCCCAGTGAACTGAATGGGAGGGCTGGGGGAATCCAAATTAGGTCACGGCAGGAGTAAAGGATTAAAGCTCCCATACCCTCACACTAGGGTCTTGATCTGGATCAAACCCCTTGCATTGGTAATTTTTATCCAAAGATTTGAACTTAAGGACAGTTAGAAAGCTAACATTTATTCTAGTTTGGCTCTCAGGATAAAAATACTGCAAAATAAACAAAACGTTTTCTAGTTGTATTTGGGCATTTACCGCAATTGTGAAAATAACATAAATGACAAGCTATGTTATTTAGCTCTATTTCAAATAGCGAGATAAAACCTAACTTGATCCAAATCAGCATTCTCTTTTGCCCTCTTCCTTGGCAGTGCATAGGTAGCCTTCTTACCTTCTCATTTAAAGGATATATATAAAATACATATTTTTCTCTGCATTATTCCTGATTAATCTACTTTTATTGAGCTGTTAAGATTGTATCTAGCTAAGTCTTTCTGCAGATCCAGTGAAATAAAATGGCTTCAGTTAGTTTACTTTGAGTGCAACATTGTCAGATAATTCCTCATCAGTTCTCTCCTTTTTTCCTTGAAGGTTCTGCCTTTGCGACAGCAAGACTTTTAGCAAAACTTTTGAGAACAAGACTTTTGTTTTTTGTTTTTCCAACAATCATTTTCCTAAAGTTATTTTAATTATAACATCACTTGTCATTTTTATCCATAATTATTTTTGAGTGCCCTTTCATGGAGAAAAGAAAAGAAAAAGAAATACTTATTTTAAAGGCCAGGAGCTTTGAAATATGTTATTCCTGATCTGGATCACAGAGTGTTTGTGTATATATCTATATGCTTCTTTTTAACATAGGCATTTAAAAGTTGCCTCCCACTTTCTAACACATACAGCATAAAGAAAGAAAAAATGCAAGGCGCTGAGGAAGCTCTGAGGGCTAGACTTCAAATCTGACTTAGCAATTACAAGAAGGGCAGTCATGTCATATCGGGAGCCTTGTATTGCTTTGCACTTTTTGAGATTGAAAATTCCCTTTCTATCCTTCTTCTAGTTAATAAATATGTAAATATGTTCTGGTTGCAGAACTGAAGAATTAAGACCTACGCTGAGAAGTGGACAGCCTCACTACACAGTGGCTGGGCTACACTAATAACCTCCCATTCTCTATGGGTAAGGTCTGCTGCAGAGGTATTTTGACAGAAACCTACAAAAATAGTTGGTGCTGCCACAGCTTTATTTATTTTTTTAATATCCCAGGATAGATCAAGAAGAAGAATTCAGTTAAGCCAGTGACTGAGAAAACTAATTTCATGGTAAAATAATTCTATAATATATTTAAAGTGTACAGGCAAGACTACTCTTAAAAGGAATCTGCATTATAAAACATATGTAAGAGTGGGAATTATATAGAGTTGCTCTCCAAATGCTTAATAAACGATTATTCTTCATCACCACACTATTTCATATAAATCATTTTCTAAGGGCAAGACTATTCTTCTCTTATTCAGTAGGAATTGTACTGCTTTTAAAATGACATATTAAAGGATGTATTGCTTCCTTGACTAGTACTATTTTATTTTGTACAGGACAAAAATAAAAGCAGAAAATCTGAAACTTGGGTTTACAACAAAAGCCACATTATTCAAAAGCTTCAGGAAACTTTAACTGTTTTTACATGGCTTCCATCTGCATGAAAACTTGCTTACAGATCCACTGTAGCTGATGGAACGAGAAGAGGGCACAGGCTAAGCATGTAAAAAAAGCTCATTTCAAAAACATTCAATCCACTTTATATTTTCCTGGCACTTGTTTTTAGAAGTGATTCAGAAGTATATTCTCTGCTGTTTCACACAATTAATTTGCAATTAAGAAACAAATTTTCACTTTTTACACAACTATCTGCTGCTTCAAACACCTTTATCATGACCCACAGTGCAGTCCTGATGGAAGATGAAAATTAGGTGTATCAAATAGGCACATGGGACATTAACTGCTTAACTGTTAATCATTAAGAAGCAAAATGTGTATTACTTTAAGCATATAGTAAGGCTCTACCTGCTTTTTTTTTTTTAATGTAACTAGCAGATTTACAATATCCAGCCTTGATGAGAAGGGAGAAAGTTTTTATATTTTACCCACATTCCTGATGCCTGCCTAGGTGGGGAATTTTCCTTGGGGCTGTGGAACAGGAGGAAAAGGAGTCTCAGAGCCTTTATCCTTCTCCCATTTATGTGAAGGCAACTCTTAGTATAGGGCAGGGGTCAGCAGACTTTTTCAGCAGGGGGCCGGTCCACTGTCCCTCAGACCTTGTGGGGAGCCAGACTATATATTTTGGGGGGGGGGGGGAGAGAACGAATTCTTATGCCCCACAAATAACCCAGAGACGAATTTTAAATAAAAGCACACATTCTATTCATGTAAAAACATACTGATTCCCAGATCGTCTGTGGGCCAGATTTAGAAGGCGATTGGGCCAGATCCAGCCCCAGGGCCTTAGTTGTCTACCCATGGTATAGGGAGTGGAATATGCTGTTCATACCCCCAAATTCTTGTTCAGGGCTGCTGTAATGCCACTACCACTGGGCAACCCAACAGTGGCACTGAGTGGAACTCCCAGCTCATAGTCTTGTATTCACCAGGTGGGCCCAACATAATTAGAAAGGCAGTTTGAGGCAACTATAAGTTTGTCAGCCACAGAACTCCACTCAACACCCGCAAGTTTCAGCAAGTAATAAACTATAAGAGCTGGTGCTGGCTGCCCAGTGTCCCCAAAACCATGGAGCTGCACCTGTCCACACAAAGCCACAAAATTATCAATATCCTTTTAGTCTAAAATCTATGGATTTAAAAATCTCAACTGACACCCAATCAATAAAGGCATATTTTTGTCTCTCATCCTGTTCACTGTTCATTCTCCATGAATTCCTGATGAGAAAAGGTAGCAAAGTCTGAGTTTACATTTCATGCAAAGAGGCTCCAAGAATGAATTGTTCCTCTCAATACTGCCAGATATTATGAATTCCAGCCAAATTAACTTTCAATGAGTTTCTGACAGTGATCAGGGTACCAGATACATTAGCATTTAAAATTCATATGGCAGAAATCAAAGTTTATGGGGAAAGAAATTCAATAACCTCTGGTCTCATTATTCCTCATCTAGCAAATAGGAAATACTTTTGAAGCATTTCTGTAGATATAGGAAAAATTAATATGAGCAGGCATTATTAGCTCCCTGCTGCTCCCATTTTTCATGGATTTCCCTCATGGTAATGCACCTCTACATTCAATTCTACTTTAAGCTGAGTGTGTGCTCTCATTTCCTATTATCTTCGTCTAAGAAACCTGTTCATTTCATCAGGGCATCCTGCAGTCCCTGATCAAATTAATAATGCACTTACTCCCACAAGGATACATGAGGGAACAGTAACACAATTGGGAAATTTCAGGTCTTTAATATGTTACTCAATATTTCATCCCTTTTCTAACGGGAACAAATGAAAACTTACCAGCTGGGCAAATACTTAAATATATGGTAGAAGGAAAATAAAAGTCAAAGCTCATCAAAGTGACCACTGGCTACAAATACGGTATATATCAATGTGTCTTTTCTCTTGTCCTTGCAGAACACTCCAAAGGAAAGAAATATAGCACGTACAGTATACTTGTAGATTGCAATAGTTTTGTATGCCGGAGACAAGATGGTGAGACCCTGAAAGAACTAGAGATAACAAAGGAAGTGTTGTCCTGGCTAAGCAGGTCTCATTAGGGATATCACAAGCATTCAAATTGAGCTGCTTGCAAAAGCCCAGAAAGACACAGAAACTAATTTTGAAGCTCAAGGAAGTAGAGGCTGTGATGCTTCCTAAGGCAGTAATGGAAAGGGTTGGTGGGGTGGCTCACCTGACCTCCTAACAACTGAGCTACTGATACTGGGAAGAGACAGGGAGAAGTGTGGTGGTAGGAATGAACCAGCAGAAACACCAGATTTGACTATGCCAGTGTGTTTGCACTGCACTGAATTTGACACCACCATCTTGCACCTCCCTTCCTGGTAAGCAGCAGCTGTTAGGAAGTTGTCAGGTGCCACTGCATCACCACACCATCTGCTACTACTTCAAGCCCACGAACAACATATTTTCCCACCAGTGACTGTTACGACTGTTACTAATGCTGCACGCTATCTCTGCTAAGAATCCTGGGACTGGTAATCCTAGTTTAAACTTCTGAAAAGATCCTCCACTATGGCCTGAGGAGTGAGCACCATCTGTCAAATCATATGTATAAACATATGGAACATATTAAGGAATTAAGCATTTAAAAGACATTCTATAAAAGATGTACTCATTCTAAAAAAGAGTACCTAATACCAAGGACAATCAATGAATCTACAGCACTCAATATAGATGGGATGATGAACCAGTTTCTCCAGACCAATTGCCAGCCAGCAAGTTTTCACTGGCTAAAAAGTATGCGTGCATATGATGGCTACATGCCTGAGGGTGCTCATGCTGAGGACCCTAAACTTAGATTGTGCTAGGCCAATCACATGCATAGTCCATACACTGCTGGGCGTGCATATAGGCCTCCAGGAAGAAACTGATGCGTTGCCACTACACAGTAAACATTGCTACAGGGGCTTAATGTAGACTGCAGTCATTACTATACCATGCAACAATTCTGCAAATACTCTAGAATCTATTCCAATGTGTGTGTTGGAAGTAATAAAATCCATTTACTAGATTATTATTTTTTACACACACTTATTCTTAAATATACAAACATTTTGTTCATTATATTTTCTGTTTTATATATATGTGCTTTGCTCATGCTTCAGTGATAAGGAAAGTTTTGGTTCAGATCTCAGTTATGAATTCTAGGAAGTACAAGTACTGTATAAATTTTGTCCTTGAAAAAGTGCATTAAAAATGGGAGTTTATAAAAATGTCCCTCCCTCCACCCAATAAAATAATTTGCTATTTGAAAAGGTTAACTAGGGGTAATTCAAAATGTGCCAACATCTTTTGTGTTTATTTAACCAAAAACACACTTAGCATCCTACATCCATAGCATCTCATCATGATATTTCCAGGGCTAAATTAACACAGCCAATATTCTCTTATGCAAATAGATTCCCATCGATCGAACCAAGCACAGAGGGAGCGAAAGTTATTTTATCTGCCTATCAGTGAATGTTTTGTTATCTCAGGATGTCCCCAAAGAGGAATAGAAGTGCTTGGAATCAATACTGTCCAATCTAATTTTTCTCATAGCTCTCAAGGACAGTTCTGCAATTAATAAGAAATTCTATTAAACTGCCCAAAGTACTGCACAGCAGTCAACTGGGGTTCAGCTAGGTTTCTTGCACAAAAAGAAGGTTTGAGCTTCATTGTTATCCTACCACTTACTTCTGCAACAATGACTCTACAAGGATACTTGTATGTAACAGATAAGGCTTTTTGTGATGAGAGCTAAACACAAAGGAGTAGGGATGCTTAAGGTATTTGATCCTTGTTCAAACATACATTTAAATACATATTTAAAATGCAAATGTTTGTGCAGGTTTTTAAAATAAATCACAGATATTAACGTAAAAGAGGATGGAAAAATACTTAAAATATGTGAAAATGACACAGATCAGAAGTAGACTGATCTGCCTCTCTCTAATTCAGTAGCAGAGAGGGGCAAATCGCGCGTGTCAAAAATCCTATAATGAAATGTTGTTAAAAACTGAATCCCCAGTTTGGCAAGGGAGATCTGTGGGTACACATTACAGTGCTTATCTAGTTCTCAATGAACTGGAACTGAATATATGCTATTGATGGGAATCTGCAGCTCTAACTAAAGGCACTTGTAGCATACAACAAAGCCTGACTGGAACTGGATCAGCTTCGTTAAACGGAATGAATATAAGAAACTCTGATCAGCCTGTCTTGTTGATGCCTCTATTTCCAGAGATAGCTTACATAATAGTGTTTGTGAATATTTATTTCCAGAAACCATGTTGAAAACTGAAGTATAATAGGAGTATATTTAGTAATAATAACTGTGCATCATGATCTCATCAAAGTTTTGTCATTATGCCAACATCAGATTAAATTCACGTTTTGAAATATGTCAGTTACTTTTCATATGAGAAAGCCCCAGTACCGAGAGAGAGAGCGAGAGAGAGAGAGAGAGAGAGAGAACTCTTTCCATGAACTAAAAGAATTGAGTGGATTGTAAAGCAAAGGCATCCCAGAATTAATGATTAAGTGTAATAGACTAGGAGGCAGAGCACAGCAATTTGCTCCTGTCGCTAATTAACACCTTTTCACCCTGGAGAACCTGCCTTACTCACAAGTGTGAACTCTGAATAATTTGCTGTTCTAGGAGTAATTTGACTGTGAAGGGGCAAGACAGCAATTTCAAATCAAAGTGGCAGAGCAAACTAGCAAAGTCTATTTTAAAGGAAGATTGCTGATGCAATTCAAAATCTAATGGGCAACAGTGTGTTAGAGATACACAAAGCAACACATATTCAGGATGCTATAAACCTCTATCAATAAATGCAAAAATGATAAAAACAGCACAAACTCTAGAACAGTAGTTTAATGTAGCATTAAAAAACCATGAATCAATTATTTAAAGGATCAGGGAGATAAATTGGTCTTCACCCTGCACCTAAAAGCACTGCACTGCCACTAGATCCAAGCCTCTTTCATTCAAAGAACAGGCCTTTCCAAATCTGGAAAGACTGCTTCCTTTCCATTCACAGAAGAGCACCTTTGGATTCAGTTCTCTTTGTCTCAGATTTACTAAATAAGTTTTTTTTTTTTAAATTACAAATTATTTTCAGGTTCTTTGCTGAGACACAGCAGTTTCATGGTCCAGAAATTGTTAATGAACACATTTGAATAGCCAACCTGTTAGTATGCAGTGCCAAAATGCAACCTTTCTTTTATTATTCTGCAAACTTGTAAGGGTCCCCCCCCCGGCATCACTGAACTGAAGCTGAATTTCGTCAGCATCATCTGCACTGATCTAACTGCACTGTCATTTAATACATAGGCTCCTCAAAAATGCTCACAGTAATCAAGGACACTTTGTGAAACATCTGATTAAGTGGACTAAGTCATGGGTGTTTGCTTCTTCTTGCTTTGGTGAGTATGAATTATTGAGACTTAAAAGTAGCATGATCTTTTGTTTGATGATGACCTTTAAGTGAGATATTTCACAACTTATAAAACGTATTCTGTAGAGGAGACTTGCTACTTAGTACAATGGTATTTTGTATGGTGGTTTTATTTCTGAACAAGAATGGCTTACACAGATCTGTTGCTTAAGTAGTCAATAGTAAAATCATTAGCTAGAACAAACTCAGAAGTAATCTATTTGGCTGAGTATGATGCAGTGCAGTAGACTCTGGGAGTTGTAGTTTGAGCCCTTAAATCAGGGGTTAGCAACCTTTTTCAGCCGTGGACCAGTCCACCGTCCCTCAGACCATGTGGGGGGGCGGACTAGGTTTTTTTTTGGGGGGAGGGAAATGAACGAATTCCTATGCCCCACAAATCACCCAGAGATACATTTTAAATAAAAGGACACATTCTACTCATGTAAAAACACGCTGATTCCCAGACCGTCCACGGGCTGGATTTAGAAGATGATTGGGCCGCATCCGGCCCCCGGGCCTTAGGTTGCCTACCCCTGCCTTAAATGAACTACCTAATCACAATCTCGTGTGCCCAACATTTTTTATACTCCTTTTTGCCTCTCATTATAGCTGCCCACCACCATGCTGCTACTCTTATGCAGGAGGTATGGAAGAAAAAGTAAGGTGGTAGGGGGGCAGCAGAGATTGCTTGGGGCTTCCTGTTCTTAATGGGTTAGAAGGCTCATGCCCCATTTGGACTCAGGTTCTCCAAATGTCCTAGATCCAATCCCAAGCCTGGTTCACCATCCTTAGCTCTGTGTAGAAATTTAGATATGTGAAGCATCCCTCTACTAAATTAAGGAGGCCATGAAAAGTGGAGGTGGAAATTTGTTAAGCCAAGCTAAAGACACCCCACAGCTCTGATAGAGGCCACAGGAAGGAAGGATATCAGCAGTGGTCAGAGACCCAGTCCTGCTGCTGCACCTGCAATGCCAATGGCACAGCTTTTAAAACATAAAATTAAAAGGGTTAAAAGAAAGAAGACATCTCACCACTGGCATCAAAAGTTCTTTCACCTGAAATTCTGCACCCCAACTGGCCCCTAAATGGCACTCCCCAACACACCACTTGCAAATGAATGAAAAATGCTTTAAATTGGGGTTAGTCATTTTGATGTACCCCTCCACCCTCAAGATCCCCAATTCAACTGCCCTCAAGATCCCAAAGGCCCTAGAAGCCACAGAACACAGGCCCTTGTCTTTACAGAATAATACACCTTTTATTTCTGGGAAGCCCAAACTGATTATAAAATATTAAGATACTAGTCTCTCAAGCAAGATGGATTAACAAATAGATTAAAAAGTCACATTGCCCATTGTATTTCTTATACAGAATAAGTTGACATTCAGAGCATTAGTTATTCTCTGAAGTCCTCCTAACTGCAAATGTACTGTCATTATTCCAAGGTGCATCACTTTATCTCAGGTGATACGAGATAAGGTTTGAACGTGAAATGACCAGAATGTTTTTCTAGCTGTGGTTCCATTACATTTAGTCCGTCTTTTTTCTCAACTTTTCAGGTTGGCGGTAAATGTGGCATGCTTTTTCTCCTTCTAAACATGAGATTGCAATCTTGTCACCATAGTACTTTATATAGCGTGGAAAGGTTAATCTTTCAAACTGACTTCTTCGAAGCCTTGTAGACCTCTAGTAATAAACTTTTGGCTATCTGCTTCCACAGAGGTGGTGAAGCTGAACTGCATGCCCACGTTTTAAGCCAAAGTCATTATTTGAAGCTAAAGGCTGTTTTACCCAGTTTAAATCACAATCCTGAACAGTTACCTGGAAGAAATAGCAGTTTTGTTAGTCTATTTTGGCACATTTTTGTGCAGTGTCTGCTTAAGGGGGAAATTCTATAGCAAGATCTGAAAAGTTGAGCAAATTAGGATGTAGCAGATCTGACTGACGGACCTGGGAGGATTCCTGGCTCAGCTGGGTTACATGGGCTTAGCTCCTTCATCCTCAGCTCAGTCAGAGATACACCACACCAGAGTATCTCCCCCATGCAACCTCAGCCGGGATGCAGCTGGATCCTAAGCCTCTTCAGCTTGATTATATGACCCAGTTTAAGTTAAGATGACAGAAAGGATGGTGTAATGCAAACACTATTTTAAAGGTGTGTTTTCCCTCTGGCACTGGTCTGCCAAGCTTAGCCCAGCTCAGTCAGCAGTAGCCTTGCAACTGAACAGGTGCAACATTATGCTGGTTTAATTTACACCAACTTTATGCCAGCTTCTTTTTATAGAATTGCTCCCTTCATTTTATTAATTTCAGCCAGTGTACTATGTGACATATAGGACTGTTTTAAATGTGACATATAGGACCCATCCAAAATTCCTGAGAAATGAATTTTCTTAAAACTATTGATGTTCCCTGTTTCTAGCTCCTCAACTACTCCAAGTAATCCTTCCCTCACATTGCTTTGCAGCTAAGCAGACCGCTAGGTTTTTCTCATAGTTATGAATAATGTTTAGGACAGTGGTTAGGAGCCTTTGGTCTGTGAGCATAAATAGACCCAATAGGGGTCTTAATTTCACAGCTGAGGCTGTATTCCCCAAGCCACATCCACATCCACCTACCCCATACAACATCAAGTATTAGAGTGCAAAGGAACAAGCAGGACCCTTAAATGTGTTCTCAATTGTTCTTTGGTAACAGAATTTTATATTTTGCGCCTTTTAAATTTAGCACCAAATGCAAGCCCCACTGAAACTGGTTCTACTTTGCATATTCTGACTGGAGCTCCTCACTAGAGTTTGCAGGTGCTGATCAGCTGATCATTGGTGGCTGCAAGCTCTGCTTCTTTTACCTGTGTAGTTTAAAATAAATCTACACATGTAAAGGAAGTATAAAGGGAAACCATGATTTCAAATCACATGGGCAAATGAACATTTTTTCCTTTGCAGATCAGATTGAATTCAAGCCAGTCTACAAAAGAAAACACTTCACCTGCTGTCATGGTAATGACAAACTGTTGGGTGGCCCTGCCAACCTGTCAAAATGGCCCACTGGGGTTGGAGGACTTCAGGATATGGCCCACTGGCCAGATCCAGTTCCCCACACTTGGTTTAGTTAGACCAGGGGTCTGCAACCTTTAAGACAAAAAGAACCACTTGGACCCGTTTCCGAAGAAAAAAAAACTGGGAGCCGCAAAACCGGGAAGGTGATGTCGAGACGGTGCGTGACTAACGCACGCACCGCCCCCATGTGACGTCACAGCCAGTACAGCGCCCGCCACAGTGGGGAGTGTCAGGGCGCACAATGCGCCTCCTCCCCTCGCTAGTATCCGCCCCGGAGCCGCGGCAAAGGTGTAAAAGAGCCACATGCGGCTCCGGAGCCGTGGGTTGCAGATCCCTGAGTTAGACCCTTAGAACTCAAATCTAAAATAAGTGATCTGGCTTTTATGAAGCATATACGATTTGCTCTGTATACAAACAGCATACCTTTTAAAAAAGCATTTATTCCATGACGCCAAGAGCAAAACTTTTGGGAAGATTACCAGAAAATTGTCTCCATTTATTTTAAACAAATGCAATAGTCGCTTACCACACTCAAACATAAATGCAGTTTAATCTACTTCATGGCTCAAGTGTCAGCTGCATTATTACTAATTCCATCATAAATTCCATGAAAGAAGCACTGAGGAAGTACCTTGTCAATCTGTGTGCTTCATGATGTGGCTGAATTGCTCCCTATGTATTTTATATTGCCTGAGATAAAGGCAGAAATAGTAAGACATATTGGCATGTGAATGACACATGACCTTAAAACTTTTGCACAGGTCTCTTTGCCTGCGGCACTACAAAATACAGTTCACATTCCAAAGGTACTGATGCATATCTGGCTGCCACTGCAAGCTGAGGATTAAAGCACGTACAGGGGAAGCCTAATGCATATTCATTGCAGTGCATACAGAAATGATTGCTCTTTCTGAATGAGGTTACTTTAGCCTTTTGTTCAAGAAAGGAGGCCCTATTGACTGTTCCCACAATGTCTGCAGTAAGGGGTGTGGAACCCAGAACAGGGCCTTTTCAGCTGCAAGTCCAGCTTGTGAAATGCCCCCTGAAAAAAGTCTGTATGTCTACTTCAAGACTCACCTATCCAATGGCTGACTGGCTGGCTAGCTGGCATTTGTGGATCAACTGCCATATCTGCAGCCAAAATCATGCCAGATCCCATTGCCTGATGGCTGCAAGACTGGTTTGAGATCCAGCAGATCTTGGGCAAGCTCAGCCCTGCCCGCTCCTTGCCCTTAAAATGCTCAGCTGACAGGTCTCTGCTCAGTCCAAACCCTCAAAGCCTGGCTTCAAGCGGGGGGTTGATTGCTCTGTAAAAGTTCATTTTCCACTGCAAATACATACACTTACACGTAATGTGTGGCTGGTATGGAATTCAGCTCAGTTGGTTAGAGTGTGGTGCTGATAATGCCAAGGTTGCAGGTTCAATCCCCATATGGGAGAGCTGCATATTCCTGCATTGCAGGGGGCTGGACTAGATGATCCTTAGGATCCCTTTCAACTCTACAATTCTATGAACAACTGATGGTCCACAGGAAATGGTTGAATGGCTTTTATTTCCGACAGATGTTAAAAAGCTGTAAGAATTAGATTGTATTTACCGGGGATGGGCACTTAATTCTTGGAGAGTTCACAAATCTGTTCTTGTAAATCCACTACAATTCCAGAGAGTTCTCTTCAGAAACCATATTCAGCATCCAGCTGATTACCCAGACTTCTGCAAAGTGGCAAAATACTGTCTCTTCTCCTTGCTTTGAGCTGTGAGCTGTTGTGCTCTCATGCATGGCATGTTTTCTTTGAAATAACAAATACTATCAAGGGAAACTTGCTTTGTTTCAATTAAAATTAATTAGCAGACATTTCATGCAAATGCAAAGGCGTTACCACTTTATATATCAAATAAATGATTAGGATAGGGATTGGGGAAGCCTGTGTCCATCTGGATGCATCTGGACTCCAACTCCCATGAGCCCGAGCCAATATGGCTAATGGTCAGGGGTGGTGAGCACTGTAGTCCAATAACAAAGTCCTATGACACATAACAAATTTCTTACCGTATCACTAAACTTTTTATTTCAACAGGCCTATTGGACTTAATTTTAGCCCTGCTGATTGTTTTGATCTGGTTCTGGAGACCTTGCTGGTTTTTTAGTTGGTTTTAATTGTATTGTCATTGTTTTTGCATTTTTCTTTTATGTAAACCACCCTGGTGACTTCTAATGAGGGATGGTATAGACATTTCTAATAAATAAGTAATAACCCATAGGTAATTGCTGTTTCTGGTGAAAACAAATCAACTAGCTTCCCCATTGTTCTGCTTCCCCTGTCCAATTTAAAACAGCACAGTCAAGTATTTGCTGCAAGGTGTGCCAACTAATGGGTTGCCCAACATTTCTATGCTATCTATGTTGCAGACCACAAAATATTTAGAATTTGTAAAATATTTATAGAACTGCTTCTAATTTTAATAAAAATGCTGTGCTACTGGACTGCTTCTTCATACTCCACTGAATATCTATCCAATGGGAGCTGAAAGATTAAAAACAAAACTACAAATACAAAAGACTTGCCACTCCTCAGGCGCTACTGGAAAGCACTCACTTTCCGGGTACTGGTTTTTAAAGCTAATACAATATTTTATTGTCTTTGAACGGAAGCATGGTTGGCTTCCTCTACCTACAATGCATTCTTATTTAAGTGTAATGAGGCACTATGAAATCAAACTGTGAAGACTCTAGAAGAACTGGGTGGTTTTTTTTACTCTTCAATGGTTACATTGTGCAGCCACTGTAGAAATGATGGGTACAGCAAGATGATAAGAAATGGAGAAAATACAGTGTGTTTATGTGTTTTAAGAAGCACAGACTTTTTCTTTTGTCATCTTCTTACAAATACTTTCATGCCAATAATTTTCAAAAGTCTATCAAGCAGCAGCTAGCAATATCCAAGGTGGCCAAAATATTTGAGAGAGTCAGCTTTCTGTTCATCCCTGCAGGAAATAGGTAGGAAGGAAGGGAAGCTAACATTTTGATTAAGTTGCCACCTTTGTAACCTACTCAGCAAATATAAAATGAGAAAATATGTGCACCCCCTTGATGTAGAGTGTACTTGAAGAGCTATCATTCTTGCATCCCATTTTGTGGAACTGCTCTGGTTTTCATATAAGAGGCATGTTTGATTGCACACCATAAGCACAGCGGGAAATGCTAATACTCTGCAATTATCTTTTTTTTTTAATTGTTTAATTCACATAGGAAATTTGCTGAAAGGAAGTTTCTGTTTGAACTGCACCTGAGATCAAAAAGTATCATCTAGTTACAGTGGAGATGTATGAATACATAACTGTTTCAAATTCGCATTAGGGCCTTGGTGAGGAATCTGGAATTTTATTTATTTAAAAAAAAAGATGTTCCTATGGTCCAGACTTGTTAGTAAGTACATAAATATTAAGCAGCTCACCTGTACACATATTCTCCTTAAGTAGCTTTAACTGTAAATGTGGCAAGTTCAAAGGTGTACCTAGGGGTTGGTAAAACCAGCCCCTGCAGAGGACACAGGTCTGTACATGTGTGCATGCACACACAAACATATAGATGGCATTGGAGTCCTCCCGTGACAGCTGGAGTGCCCCCACCCCCACTGGCTCAGCACTCCATCATCTGCTTTGCCCGCAAAAGGAATCCTTGGCATGGCTTCCAGGCAGAGAGCAGCGCAAGCACATCATCCAACCCCCAAGAGATGTGCTCCTCCTGCCAAGGCAACCTCATTTGTGTCTCAGATTTTTCAGGTTGGGGGACACCAACACAGCTCCTTGTCAAGGGTGCAAGAGACCCTAGGTACACCTCTGGGCAAGTTACAAAGCTCAGCCTGGTCAATCATATAGGTAAGAGGCTGCTACAACTTGAAAACTTCAGACCACATTCACACCATACATTTAAAGCACTATGATACCCTTT